TAGCAATAAAAGTGGAGGACGAAGCGACCCCTGATGTCTGTCCGTCAATTCTGTTTTATATGACTGATGCTCGCACTGCGGCACGCCGGTGTAGGCCTCGCGATGTACAAGCGACATTCATGTGTGGCTTTGGGCCACAGCGAGTACGCCTCTCCTCAGCCAAATGCCTCAACGTAGCTGGAGGGCACTGTGCATCGGGCGGCATATCAGTCTCCAAGATGGGGAGCGGAGGCAAGAATACGCTTTCGCAGAACATGAAGCTTCACTTCAGTGAGAAGTTGCTGCCTATACAGCTCGAGCGCGATGCAGAGTGTGGAGAGGATATCGCTCCCAGAGATACCCTTGCAGTGGCCTTTTCGGCGCTCTTGAGAACGTGGTGCGCTTCCATGAATCTCTTTGACAGGTACAGGCCACTTCCTGGGCCAAGCGGGAGGCATGCGGTAAATGGAGGGCTGGCGCGCCGAGTCGGTCAGGCAGACGGCCGCTGAATGGGGGTGAGGTGCTATAGCATGATACCTGTAGTAAGTATCCGGTGTTCAGCTCCAGTAGCCCCGGATCCCAAGGCGACATAGCTATTCTCACATACCTCATGTTTGTGGTCGCGAGTGTGCTAGGCGCTAGCCTTTATCCAAGAACAGAATCGGGCAAGAAGGCGCCCTTGAAAGCTACCATGTCCATTTGCCAACGCCCAAGTGCTCGGACTTTGATTTGAGAGATAGGCATATTCTATCAGGAATGCGAGAGCAATGCAGGTGCGTGAGGGGTTATAATAAGTACAATGCGAGGATAGCGATGCGGCAGAGTCGGGAAGGCAAGGATGACGCAGAGTGTTGATGTGCAAGCCAATATGGCAATGTGTCGAGATCAGATGTACTATAGAGTCCAGGGTGAGGAATGCGTTGAGGTGAGAGAGAATCAGATTACACGAGCGAGGACGGCAGCTGCGCGAGCAGCGAGCGCGGCCTCGCCTTCGCCCTCGGCACCTCGCGCGACTGCTTCAGCGACGGTTTCCTTACAAGCGAGCATGAAGTCCGCCTCGGGCTGTCCCGGATAGAACCAGGTGACAAGAGCCTGGAACGTGCGGCAGGTGAGCATATCTACAGAACTCAGTAATGCGTCGCGATTGGTACGTACAATCATGATGTAGAAAACGACCATGATTAGGCCCTATAGCAGGCAGGTCAGAACTTGTTGTGCGAACAGAGGTACCGCGCCGGATCTCACCTCGACCCAATTTGTTTTGGAATCCGCCGTGACGTAGTTCACCAGGAAGCAGGAACCGAGCAATAACGCCACCTCGAAGTAGTCTGCATCCACAATCAGCTACTTACACTGGTGGATCCGCCACAGAAGTGACGGAAAGGCAGGAAACACGCACCGAACATCAGGTGCATGGGCTTGTTCGTCCACCAGCCCAACAACACGAGGAAGGGCATCCACCAGAGCGTGAACTGGATGCTGAGATCGATGGCACGGCCACGCGCCAGCATCGAGGGCACGAGGATCTCCTTGCCTGTCAAGTGATCGTATATGGATTGGAAGAAGAAGAGGATGGCGACCGCGCCGTCTGCAGAGAAGGAGACGATTGGGAGCAAGATCATGCCGAACCATTCAGTCTGGATGCCGCTGGTTTCTCGGACTTCGTCGATACTTTCCACTAGCTGCTCAAACGTGAATTAGGATCGGACAGGGCAGGCGACCGAAAGCGCTTACGAATTCGGCAGTGGGGGCCATTAGACCCACAGTGATCACGAGGAGCAGCATGCACGCCCATGGGTTAACGACAGGTTCTTCCTCGAGCAGATGCTTCTCTTCGTGATGGAGCTCAGCGGGGGCGTCCTCGGGTACCGTGAGCGCGTTGTTCTCTCCAGGTGGATTGTGCAAATAGATGCGAGATGCAATATATCTGTAACGCGGTTCAGAGATTGTGACAAGCCGCAGATGATAGGGTGGACGTACACAAGCAAGAGCATGATAGCGATCCCACGACTCATGCGGAGAAGCTGATCGCGGGTCGCATCGTTGACCAGGCTGGAGCCCGTCTCAGAACCCGCTGCGGTCACCGCTGAAGCGCCTCGGTCGAGGGCTGCGAAGAACGCCGTTGGTAGGAGCGTAGCAAGAACACTGAATGTAGGATTGTCAATGCGGAGTTCTGGATATCAGCATAGAGTCGCACCCAATCATGAGAAGCGAGTGGTTGAGTTCGCTATGGTGAGGATGCAGCATTTGTTGTCGGATGTTGTAGCCACCGACAAGGAAGGCTGTGCCAGGAATGAGCAGCAGATGCAGGATAACAACACCTAGACGCGAGCAGGGAAGCGCAAGCTCATTTAACGTGAGAGAATGCTACAAGCGCCAGTTCATACGCACCGACAATGCTTGACTGCAGCAGTTGGAGTCTGCGTGCAAGGTTGCCATACACGATGAGCGCTCCCGCGGTGTAGCATGGTGAGATGTGCTGGAGTGTACATACTCGCAATGAACTAAAAGAATAATGGCCAGCACCGCTTCAACGGCGCTGAATGCAGGTCAGTACTGCTTACCTCACGAAGATGGGCGGACTTACTTGTTGAGTGTGATTATCAGCAGGTCTCCTAGATCCTTGCCAAGATACAAAGCCATCTGCTCGCCACCCCAGTCAAAGATACACTCGAGGGGTATGATTGCGAGGAAGCACACTGATGTGTGAAATTAGCCAGGCAGAAAGAGCGCGAGAGGTGCAGACCTACGGGCGAAGGTCGTGTCATGACCCCATTGTACCATCTCCCAGTGCGAAGCCCAGGCGAGCGGAATGAATAGCAAAAACACATTCAGCACTTTAGGCCGCACCTGGCTAAGCAAGACTGTTCGCTGCTCAGCATTGTTGCAAACGCACCAGAAGAAGTGGCTATATTCCGTAGGCTCTCGCCCCAGCCAATCCTTCTGCGGCCTTTGCCTCGGAGGCGGTCCCAGAACTCCTGCACCCGGTCTGTCGCATAGCCGTACGCGGCTCTGTATGTGCTCTGCGAGTGACTGGCCTCAATGCCATCTGTCGCCGCCACGGTGGTCGCATGGCTGAACTCCAGATGTAAGCGCTGTGTTTCCATCTCGTCTGGGAGATGCAGTGCATACCCGCGCTCCTCGTCGATCATAACTCTGCTCGCATTGGCACTGTCAGCTTTCTCGCTTTCGTAGGCCATAGAAGAGAGAAGAGACACAAAGGGAGAGAGGGAAGAGAATTGGGGAAGGGAGCGGACACTTGCCAGAAGCGTGGCGTACGACAGGCCCTCAGGCTATTGGACCCTGACCGAAAACGCAGGAAATTGATTCGCGCCGATACCGCGCTCTTCTCAGGTTCTGCCAAGGATGGAAGCCAAGACCACACCGGTCGACAGGTCCGGGGCTGGTCGTCACGAAATGAGCGGGGAACGTTGCTGCGGGCACATGGCTGGAGGGCGCGCGCATTTTGTACTTGTCTCTGTGGGCCCGGCGCAAGGCTCGGACATGGCTGTCCGTGACCTTCTGTCTCTGATATCCGCATTCGTAGGCGGCACTGCAGAGTCGTCGAAACGCGCGCTGCTGCAGAGCTGTGTGCAATCAATTGAGAGACGGTGCTGAAGCGACGGCGCAAGCCACAGGCGACTCCACGCCACCAAGCCACGCGTCGCGTCGCGATCACTCTGTATCCGGACTGTCGGATACTCGCCATATCGTTGAAGTCCATCGTTCAGAGTTTGCACTGCCTCCCATTCGTACTTCGTCACATTCTACCCTTTGATCCAGAGCGTCGGACTTGACATACACATATTTCGTACACACCACCAGACGTGCAAGCGAATGTCGGTGATGAGGCCCATTACTTGGAGCGCCGCCATCATGTTCACGCTTTCTTTACGAAACGCCCGACCTGGTGCCAGAACAAATGTTCTTCGGGCTCCCCCTCCTTGGTCCACACCTCCTTCTCTGCCCAAACGTCCATGTTCGCAATCCAGAGGTGCGTCGGGCGATCGAGACGACACCCGTCGAAGGCCCGCGCCCACAACGGCGTCCAGAACCGCTGCCACCAGGCGACGTCCGGCCGCGGGCTCAGGACGTGCTCGTACAGGAGCAGCGTGCCCCCGGGTCTGAGCACCTCATCGACGAGCGCGGCCATTGTGCGTTCAGGTTCCGGGATAGAGCAGATGGTGAGGATGGAGATGATGGTGTCCACAGTGTGCCGGCCACCGAGCGCGGAGGTGATGAGCGAGATTTCTTCGGCGCCGTACGGGAGGATGAGGAGGTTGCCTGTGTCCTCTGTGTAACCCTTCGATGCGGCAAGGGTGCGGATCTCGCCATGCATGAGCTGGTTCGGCTCGAGCGCGACGTATTTAGTGACCTTGGAATGGTCGAGGTAGAACAGCGTGTGTCCATGACCTACATAACGGCAAGAGAATCTTCAGCAAACTTAGATACACGAAACTAGCCACACGAACTACCTGCGCCGAGGTCAAGGACGACTCCGTATGCATTCCCCGGAATCAGGGACTGCTTCACTGGGCGCGCGTTCTCGTCGACGCCGTTTCCGAAGACCGTCCAGACATGTGACATAAAAATGCGCGACAGCTCGCTCGGGCGTATAAGCAGCAGCGGCGACTTGAATATGGCAGACAGAGTCGGCACGAAGGCAGCGCGGATCGCGAACCGCAAATCCGCTAGGAGGCTGAACGCAGCGGAGAGCTTCATGGTGGTCGCGAACGGGTTGAATTGAGGGATTTAAAACTGCTATCGCATGAGAAGCAATCGATGCAATATCGTGCAGTGGCTGGTATAACTCCTTTGAGTAGTGCGTAGATGGTGGACTACACAAAAGGAAAAGGCGCGGACCGTACTCGACTCTTTGTAGTACAGCTGGCTCACTGGTCGCGCAGGCTAAGGGAAGGGAGCAGCATCAAACGGCCGCGGGCTTGCCACCAAGTAAGAGAACTGTACTTCACAGCGTTCCCCCAAACAATCGCAGCTCGAAGGCAACAGCCTCCGTCAGCGCCTGGATGGCTCAGTTGGCTAGAGCGCAGGTCTCATACTGCTGTATGACCGCTGATCAGTGGGCAATCCTGAGGTCGTGAGTTCGAGCCTCACTCCGGGCAGCTTTTTGGTCCGCGCGACCCCTACCCAACAATTTGGCCAACAACCTGCAGTCTTTAACGCATCCTTCGATGCTCGAAAGGCAAATACAGTAAGTTCTGCTAGAGAGGTGCGACTTGACGGTACTGCGACCATACTTGCATTAGGACAAGTACGTGGTAGAGAAATCTCGTCAACGGTCCTTGCCAAGTACTCGTCTCCCTAAAGCCTCCACCTCACGTTGGATGACAGCAGTAACCGCGCTCCTCACTCGTGCGATCTCCAGTGCCAACTCCGCATCCTCTACAGCACCTGATGCTCTGCTTCGTATCTCGACCGCATGCGACACCGGTTCCCCCAGCCAGCCCTGCTCGGCAACGGCTCCGCTGTGCTCTTCCTCTCGGGGTCGTGATGAGTCTGCCAGGCCGCCTTCCGAGCTCTGAGGAGCATCGGGAAGGCGCCCGTCATGGACTAGTGACTTTAGAGCGTCTTGGACGTCTTTGGTAGGCACAGGTTCGCCGAATGTGATGCTGAGCGCAGCGCCTGGCTTCGGGAAGAACTTGTAAGGAAATGGTCGGCCTTCTGGCATGAGCTTGTCAAAACCTGGTAATTCGAGCATTGAGTGACGAAGCGTTGTGACGCAGATGAAACTGGCTCACCCGTCAGCCACATCGGTATAATGATTGGAGGCTTTTGCGCCTCCATCATGATTCGACCACTAATTGCGCATAGTCAGTACGAGCCTCGTGTAGCGAAAGCGAGTGTGCACGCACATTCCCCATTTGAACCGCAGAAGCTGAGCAGCGGTCGGGCTTTCGGGGTTGCTTGACTCTTGGTTCACTTTTCCCTCACCGAACAGATGAATCTTTCAGAGAGCAATATCATGTCAACCAAGACGTCCACGCCGCTGACGGATTGAGCACAACACACCCATTCGCCGTGGTTCAGCTTGTCTATGGCGGTGTCTATGGCGGGCTGAAATATACCCTTGCCGCGGAACGTCTCGATGACTTGGCCGAGGCGGAAGAACGTGGAGAAAACACTATCTGGCGACCGTGAACAATATGATGGCGGGGTTGAGCATTTTTATAAGCGGCTATAGAAGGAGGCTGAGCACGTACGGATTTGTGAACATGATGTCCGAGGCACCGAGTGTCCATCTCGTCATGCGCGAGTCGCGGTAGAAGCGCGCCGGGAGCACTCCCCATGCAACGGGATCGTCTAGTCTGCACCGTGGTTCTGGCGATCGGACTTCGCTTTGGCCGGCGGAGCAGCGGGAAGAACTCACGTAGAAATATGGTTGGACACTGCGGACACGTTAACGATCGTGACGCCAACAGGGAGAGGAGCATAGACTCACTGGTTACGATTCCGCGCCCATGATGACGCTCCTCGCTCTCGAGGGCTCTGAACAGATTATGTAGACCATTTACGGTTACAGAGGAACAGTAGGAATTGAGGATGGCTTTACTCCCGAGCCCGATGGTGCTGACGGTGACCTGAGAGAGAAAGCCCATCCGCGTAGCTAGTAGCTCACAGGATCAAGGAAGGTGTACAATGCTTGTCACGAAGAAATTCTGGCGGTGCTGAAGACGCAGCGCATGAGAGTACGAGGGAGAGAGCAGCCACCACCAAATGGCACTCGGCCCGCGCCGACGTCGGGGGCGTGCCGCGTTGCGCGTCGGCCTCCGAAACGAGCGCCCTCGGCTTCTTCTCATCCACCACGAACCCCTCGACGCTAGCGACTTTCTCGCCGTTCACGACCGGGACGACTCTGCGTTCGACAGCTGTAGGCGACTGGATTTGTTTGGTTTGGGTCCGAGCGAACGTGCTGGTCCAGGGAGAGTACTGGGTTGCGGGCAGACGGACACGCTAATTGGTTTCTTGCTGTTACGCGGTTTGCTATCGTACTCGAGGTGAGCCAGTATAGCTTGTGTTACACGAACAAGCTTGCCTGATGTGAATTGAAGACTTAGCAGAACCTCAGGATGGCAGTCATGCAGCCGTTGAGGCGGGTCGGTGCAGCGTTCGTTGCTGCAGTCGGACGGTTAGACAAGTCTCTCTCGCCCAGCGATACCCTCAACCGTCTGAAGCAACACAAGTGGACGCTTTCCGACTGCATCTACATCTTCCACCTCGTGCTCGCTACCTTCTGGCTCACCATAATGCAGGTCCCCGGCTTCCCGCTCAAGCTCCTGATACCCATACTCTACGCCATCGCGCTTCTTATACCCTTCACGTCGCAGTTCTTCGTCCCCGCGGGCCCAATCTTCCTCTATCTCCTCAGCTTCTACTCCTCAAAATTCATTCCGACCGAGTACAGGCCAACGCCGTCCGTCGTGCTCCTCCCCACGCTCGAGTCCGTACTCTATGGCGCGAACGTCTCGGACATCCTCACGCGTTTCACGCATCCGATTCTGGACATCATCGCGTGGGTCCCGTACGGAGTCGGACACTACATCATCCCGTTCATCGTCGCGGCATTCATCTGGCTCTTCCGTCCGAAGGAGGCCCTCCACTTCTGGGCGAGCGCGTTTGGATACATGAATCTCACCGGCGTGCTCATCCAGATCATCTTCCCTTGCGCTGCTCCATGGTACGAGCTCATCTACGGGCTCACCCCCGCGGACTACACGATTCGAGGTTCGCCTGGCGGTCTTGCACGGATCGACAAGCTGTTCCACTCGAGCGGGTACACCACGGCGTTTTCGAACTCGCCCTTGGTCTTCGGGGCGTTCCCCTCTCTTCACGCTGCGTCGGCGACAATGGAAGCGCTCTTCATCTCGCACTTCTTCCCGTGGACAACCAAATGGGTGTTTGGCTACGCGGCTGTGCTGTACTGGGCGACCATGTACCTCACGCACCACTACCTCGTCGACGTCGTCGGCGGCTCTTGCCTCGCGGTCGCCTTCTTCTACCTGCTGATGCCCGAGGAACTGAAGGGTGCCGCCGCCACCGCACCCCCCGGCGGACTCAACGCTGCGTCGTATCGGAGCAAGTACGAGATCTACGACCTCGAGGAGCCGCGCGGACGTGGACGCAGCTCGCGCGCGAACGGCGCGATCATGCGGGACGCGGAGGCGTACGGCCTCGAGGAGCTCTCGGACCGCGAGTCGGACGAGGAGATGGACATCACGTACCGCTCGCCGGTCGTGCCCGAGCAGCCGTCGTCCGCCGCGCCGCTGATCAAGTCGAACGGGCGCGCGTCGCCTGCGAAGAAGAGCCACCGACATACGGCGAGCATCGCGAGCCTCATTCGGTCGGAGGAGCGGGGCGAGGAGGGCTGGAGCCCGATCGGGAGCTCGTTTGCGTTCCCGCCCACGCCGACGCGCGCGCAGGCGGACGAGGGCAAGGGGCCGCGCGCTTCGTAGGACTCTTTGCGTTGAGCTGGTCTTTGGACTGGGCACCGGGCGCTGCTGGGGCGGGGCTGGGGCCGGTTTGGTAAATATGTACGTCGTTTTGGTTAATAGTCGCATCAGTACTCGTCTGTCTCAACCCCTGGGCATTCATAGTGTATCTACATATGCTTCGAGCATGAACAGTGATAGATGCAATGCGTTCCTTCCTTCCACATGCGAGTACAGTCGCGGTAAACCCTCTCTATACATGTCTCTTCCGACGTAGTGCTGCCAAGGCCTCGCCAGTTGGACTTCTCCGCAGCCATGAATTCCGGTATTACGTGTGTAGGTATGCACCGTATGCTGCTGGCGGCTTGTTCAGGCTCATCGGCGTCTGGCAGTCGGAGATGAGAGTGGGTGCTCGATTCTGCGGCTCTGCCATGAAGTCATACGCTACAACTCCTCGTCAGTGATGAGGCGTGCGCGTATGTAGCTCGACTTGCTGCATTTCAGCTTGCTCCACTTGCCTCGGCATGGCAGGAACTCTAACTGTCTGGAAGTGTGTGACGATGAGTAAGAGCCGGTGCTCATAGGCTGCTTCCTCGCTGTGGCTTGTGCCGTCCCACGTCGTCGAGAGACCGTGCTGTGCAAGAAGTAAGTGTAGTTCCACTTTCTTTCTGCACCCCTTCCACTCACGGAGCTCAGCCGTTAGCAGGTGGTCGGTTCAGCTGCTGCCTGACGTCATTCGCAACAAGCAGAGCGAGCGTACAGAAAGTACAAATACAGTGCTCCGTGCCCTCGTCCGCAAAATCGACGCTCTCCTCACAACCACCTGTCGTGCAGCTGAACAACGTTAACACCATGACTGAACAGCACCTCGCAGGAAAGTGGGAGAAACTCTACACTACCCCATCCCATGCACCCTCGAGACAGGGTCCTAGACGTCTTCCCGGCGCGACTCCCGAATCTACTGCGGCACTCTTGAACACGCTGAAAGACAACCACGTCAAGTGGCACATCTTCTTCAATGACAAGGGCTTCCACAAGTTCGTTCTGCGCGTCCCTGATGTCATCAGCCTCGCTCATTAGCTTCATAGCCACGCGTCTCACCATCTCCTTGCGTTGTACCACTTGGGCGCAAGCGGCCCAAACATAGAGGCGGCCTATGGGACCCACACGTCTTACCAGCGTCCTGCCCTGCCGCCGACGGAACCCATCACCGAAAAGAATTTTCATGAGCATCTTGGGGACGAAAAGTTCGTTCAACTGAGGCAATGCAACATTCTCTCGCTAACGCGGCGTCTTTCATTTCGGCTTCACTAGATACTACAAAGCATATGTCGATTTCTTCACTGACAAGTTGCTAGCGCAAGGCGCCGTCGCAACCATTGAGGAGTTCATATTCTCTCCGAAGGCAAACATCGACCCTCCGGCACCCGGGGAGCCGCCCATGCAAATGGCCAACCGATTCCTCGCCGGTCAATTGCACTGCCTGATTCACGTTGGCTACGGCTGCGAATTCGGACTGCTCGGGCAGCTGTCTGAAGGTGGGCGGATGCCTCCACGGCTTTCTTGCCGGTATCTTACTGAGGACATGCTGCTGCTAGGACTTGGAATGACCGCCATCCATCCACCTGTCGCTGCGGCGCTGACACCGCCTTCTATCTTGCAGTATGTCGGTGCAG